CTTTATTCCACTGCCCTGCTTGTAAGTCAGACAGCAGTGGACCTGAGTCCCAGTGGGCTGTGGCCTGTTTTAATCTACCAAACTAAACTGGAAATAAAACCATTCTCCCAGAGTAAGCAGGTCCTACCCTGAAGCAGCCATAGCATCTTAAACCATAAAATACGAATTTTAAACCATAAAAAGTGAATTCTGCTTCCTCAGGCAGGGAAGCCTTTACACATAGAACTACTTTCTGTACCTGGTTGGGTAAACACCTGCAAACCAAATCACCAAAAGGGCTGTCTCAAACTGGGACAAGGTGCTGTAAAATCTGCACCTCCACATAACTTTCATTAAAAAGTGTCTTAATTGCTGCATTTACCACAGTTTTCCTTGGTTGCCCCTAATGAGAAGCTGATCTCCCTGCCCTGATACTCTGCACCAGGGATAATTAACACTGCTCTACTAACTACTTGCTAAAGGAAGGTCATTAGCATTCTTGCTGCTTAAGTAGCTCATTAGATCTAGTTTATCAGCCTGCTCACATAGGAGAGGTGGGGAAGGGAGAAAAGTGAAGGGTGAAAGGCTCTCACAGCCCAGCTGCCAGACTGGAATTCCATCCTGGAGTGGCTGGACGTGGTGTCCCTCCAGTAAAACTGAAACAGCAGGAGCCAAGGAGGTCAGGACAGGTGGGAAGCACCACCCCAGGAGCCCAGGGAGCAGCTTTTAGCCCATCAAAAGGTGGAGGAGAGCTGATCTCTGGCACTTTAAACCACCCTCCTCGCAGGCTGATGTTGCCAGGTGACAAGTGGATACAGATAAGTTCCTATCCCTAGACCTGATGGATGGTTGCACAGAGAAGATGAGAGAGAATTTAAGCAGGCAGGAGAGCCAAGAGCACCAGGGCAGTGAGGACACTGTGTGCCCACACAGCAACTGCCCTGGCACGTGTAGACAGAGCAGTGCCTGCAGCAGGTGCCCATTTCTCATCACAGCCACAGGCAGGGCAAGGGTGGAAGAGGAAAGCACTGCTGTGCTCAGGTAGGAAGCACATGATGAATTTGGAGAAAGGAAAAAAAAAAGCCCCAGGCCACAGCCTTGAAATAAAAAACAAACTCTGCCTGTACTTGGTGTTCCTGAAGGAAAAGAGAGTGTCAGGGAGTGGAGCAGCAGTGAAGGATAATGCAAACCCTCAGTAGGGACGACAGGTTCATCCATGTGCAGGGCTGGACACAGGAGCAGGGACTCACTGGCATGTCTTACAGTTGTCTAATTTTAAAGGGCACCAAAGATCTAACCAGAATTAGTAACACAAGGAGCTGGAGCTGGGATGCAGCCTGAGAAGAGGGAACTATTTCATGTGTGCTGCTGCCTCCCTCCCCTCGGCTCTTCCGAGTCTGAACTGCTGTCCAGGGCACAGAGAGAGCAGTTGAAGACCTTTATCTGATACTCAACATGAGTGGTGGGATTTGGGGCACTTCCCTTAACTCTTCTGTGCATAGTGGGAGCTGCCAAAGACAGAAAAGTACTAGAGATGTTTGGGTGTAATGCCCTGAGCAGGTGAGAGTTCTCACTGACTACCTCAGGAATAAAGCACGGAGTGACAACTCTGAGCTGTTAAACAGAAACTATTTAAACTCTGCAGGTTGGTTATCACAAAGGTCCTGAAAAAAGTTACAGTTCTCTAGGAATAAAAGCTGTCTCCTCTAATGAATTAGCACAGCAATGCTTATTCTTATTTGTGAATGAACAGGCAGTGCTGATTTACAGTAACTGATCTCAGTGCTTGGCAGGTAGCAAAGCCTTATGCAAATCACAGCTGCCACCCCAAAGCTGCATTTGCATAACTCCTTTTTTGTAAGTCACTCTTAAGCCTTTTTACCATAATAAAAGTTATCAATATTTCAAGAGACGTGAAAAATAGCCACACATGTGTGCTCCCTGCCTCTTAGCTTTTAATCACCAGTGGGTATTTGGGGCTTTGGGTGGTTGTAAGGAGCTGCAGTGTGAGATGTGGAAGGGGGGAAGTTACAGAAAGTCTGAGTCTGACCTTGAGCTCTCTGGGCACACCCCAGAGTATGGCAGCAATCACACCCCTGAGGCTGCAGCTGATCAGCACCTTCTGTGCTCCACACGAGGATTTTAAGGTCAGTACAACGTTTATTGGCATCCAGCAGAGACCACTGCCTGCCACAGCTCAGTCCTGCAAGGCCACAGGGACCTGGTTCTTTATTAAGAGCACTCTTAGAGGGAACCTCACTATGAACTCACCAAAACCATGTAAGATCCCACCCACATTAAATCAAAACCCTGATCATTCAGATGGATTCTATGAGCAGTCAGAAGACACAGCAGAGCTCCAGGATCTCAGGTGAACCCAAGTGATCAGAAGGCTGAGTTTCACCCATTCTGGGCCTGCCTGTCAGTGCAATTCACAGAATCACACAATGATTTGGGTTGGAAAAGACCTCCAAGGTCATCGAGTCCAACCTATGGCCAGACACCACCATGTCAACCAGAGCATGGCACTGAGTGCCACGTCCAGTCTGTCCCTGAACACCTCCAGGGCCTTCTGCAGCTCCCCTTCCAAACCTCACCCCTGCTCTAGGCCTGCCCCTGAGAACTGCATTCACAGCAGTGGGAATTGATGCCTTCAGGCTGGGGATTCCCGGGACTATGGGGCTGGGTTCCCAAATTTCCCTTAAAGCCTACAGCAGTAGGTTGCTCAGCCCTCACAGACTGCCTTGAAAATCCTGGTCAGAACCCAAGCCCCTTCCATAACCTGCCCAGGTGAGGTTTCAGCCCCTCAGGATGGTCTCCATCCTGTACTGCAGCTGGACAATTCCAGTGGGTTTTAACACTCCAGTGGATTCCTGGCCTTAGCTCTGCTGGAGAAGTTGGCTGTTTGTCCTTTCACTTTAATAGCATTTCTTTCCCTGGGCTATGTGGAAGCTGCAGTGGACCTTTCAGTCCTTGTAGCAGAGGGAGGATGAGTCCAGCCAGGGCAGAGGCCACACAAAAGGATGCTGGATCCTTCCATGACATAATGCTTCACTCCTGCTCTCCTGCCCCAGAGCCTTGTGCTTGAGGAGTCTCCTCCCAAATCACAACTGCCCAACGATTACAGCATTAAAAAAGGATAATTCAAAATAATAATTAATATTTTCCCAGCCTAAAGAAAGCCCAAGGCAGCCATTAAATTGGGGTTGTGCATGTGTCAGCCAGGCATCCTTAAGTAACACAACTTGCTTGATCTCTGAATACCAGAAGGGCAAGGCACATCATTTCTACAACCAAAGACCTTTTTTTTTTTAATCTATGACACTGAAGAGCCTTAGGCAACTTTCAAGATTAATTGCAATCATTCAGGGCCCTGGTATTCCTCCTGGACATCCCTTTTACGTAACAAAAAGGATGAACATGTAGCAGAGTCACCTGAGGCAGCCTGGCCTGCCCCAGCCCTGCCCTCATCCCCAGCCTTCAAAGCTCCCTGCCCTGCTTGTTTCATCCTCCTCCTCCACATTCCCCACTCTTCCAGCAATTCCTTTGTTCTTGCCACCTTCAAATAATTTCTAAAATAAGATCCCTTCTCCCTGGGTACCCAGAACACCGAAGTAAATAAAGAGTAAGCTAAATTGTGCATTTTTATTCTCTTGAGACATTTCTCATTTCTTTGGTCTTTTCAGCCTTATCTCTATCTGCCTTTTCACGTGTGTTCCAGAGGGCTACACAGCAGCTACAGCACTGTGGGGAGCTGCCATTCCAGAGTAAATATTTATGTATATTTAAATAGAGGTACTCACAAAATTAAATATATATATATAAAAATACGTTTGTATAGGTGCATACACCAGTGTCAACAGGATGAATCGATGAGAAATGATGGTTTTAAAAACTAAAAAAGCCCCACAGCACCCCGCAGCTGTGTCACACAGTCCTGAGCTGGAGGAGCACACCAAAGCCCTGTCTCTCAGGTGATGGGACCAGTGAAGATCCCAGTTACATCACTGGAAAACAGTGGCACCTTCAAAACACCCTGAGCATCACTCTGGGATTTGTGTGGAAGCTGCTGTATTTTATGAATGATGATCTGTGATCTCTCATTCTCAATGTATCAAACTATGCAGATGGGAAAAGAAATTTCCCTGGTATATCTAGATTTTTTTCCCCCTCATTAAATTTCCCAGGCCTTACATTTTCAACTGTGATGCCAGATTTTGGAGCTGGGTCTTTTGTTGCACTCTGCACCAGGATAATGGTGGCATAGGAAGGGAGATTCCCAGACAGACCAAGGCCAATCACTGCAGCAGTCGCAGAAGGGAACAGCCCAGAAGGAACACTAATAAAACCCCCAGAACACACACATCCCTCCTGCCATGGATTTTACACCATCACTGGGAGGTTCAGGTTGGATCTCAGGAAAAAGTTCTTCCCCCAGAGAGTGGTTGGGCACTGAACAGGCTCCCCAGGGCAGTGGGCACAGCACCAAACCTTCCAGAGCTCAAGGAAATGTTTGCACAATGCTCTCGGGGACAGGGTGGGATTGCTGGGGGTGTCCTGTGGATATTAATGATCCCTGTGGTCCCTTCCACCTCAGGATATTCTGTAATTCTGTGATTTATCATCATACAAACCAGGTACAAAATATCAGCAGGGCAGGACAGCTGCATGCTGCTGCCCATAAGTAGCTATTTGATTTAAGGGATCAGATTAACAGCTACACACACACACGACTCTCACCCACACCACAGAAGCAACACTCTCTCTTTACAGAGCTGTCTATAAGCTTTATAAATGCCTGAGGCTAAAAAGATGTAGAAGCCTGTTTCCCCTCCCCAAGGGGCCCTCCCAGGTGGGAGCTGCAGCACGTGAAACAGCTGCACTGCTCTGCACCACTTCCCCCTCTGCTCACAGGCACAGCCCTTCCCAGCAGGGTCTAACCTGGCACTGGAGAGGAGCAGTTAGTAAACAGAAGCAAACCCGGGCAGGCAGCCCTGCCAGAGCCTGCTGTGAGCACTTACAAATCCGATGAGATAAGGACTGCCAGCATCTCCCAGGAGGTGTGAAGTGAAGCTCTGCAAGGCCACTGCGGTCGCCCGGCGAGTTGGGATCACCACGTACTGCAAAGGAGGGGAAGAAACAAAAAGAGATAAGGGAAGTGAAGTAAGAACCTGCCCAGCTGTGCTGCACTGCTCAGTTTATACCCAGGGCAGGACAGAGGGAACCAGCTGGCCCAGATGCTGGTGGCAGACAGAGCCACAGCCACTCCACGGGAACTGGGAAGCTCAGATTCCCTGCCTGGCTCTGGAGTTCTCCTGATGGCAGGTGCTCAGGGAAGGAAGCTCTGTCCAGTCCTCTCAGCAGCACTTTGCCCAGGACACACTCTGCTATTGCTCCTCAGCCTGTATTTTGCTGTAACCTGGGATATTGGCTTTATTCACATTGTATTGTATATTCATATTGTACTCATACTGTATGTTGTATTTATGTTATAAAGTGATCATTTTGTTTCCTGAACCATCAGCAATCCACGTCAGTATGAAAGGTCACATCCTCCCTTCCCACTCCACCTCCAGCCACTTTGTATTTCCCTCAAAAATCTGTGATTCCACTTGTGGAAAGCGACAAAGTCACGTTAGGAAAATTTTCCGTATCCAAGATACTGTAGTTTGGTCTCCACTCCTCTAATAGGACGTGACACCCTTAGGCAGGTCATGCAGAATCAGTCAGACTACACAGGAGCAGTGGAAAACACAAATTACTTCCCCATGAAGAGACCAGAGCTCACAGAAAACAGAGCCCTAACCAGGGAAAGGGACAAAAGTTAAAAAAAAAAAAAAAAAAGCAACCCCCTGTCCTTAATTTGGAATGACCTTAATTTTATAACACATTTCTAGAAGCAGAAAAAAAGTAATTGTCTCCTGCATAAATTGTGAAAGAAGCTGGCTAAGGACATCTGCATTGAGTCCACAAATCCCGGTTTATAAATTGATCTTGTCTTGATTTAAAGGCTGGAAGTAATGAAGAATTCAATAGGTCTCTAAATCCAAGTGAGTTTTGTTTCTGCCTCTAAGCACTGAATCTCACTGTGCCTTTTCCTGTGGCTCTGGAGAGCCCTGTGCCCTGCCAGGAATGGCTCTTGTTCAGCTATTTGTGGACCATCATCCCTTTTATTTGTCCACTTTCTCTCTGATGGGCTGCCTTCAGTCTTTCTTTAGAAGCTGTGCCTTGCCAGGGCTTCAACTCATCCTTGCAATCCTTTCCTGCAGTCATTCATTAATTAAATGTGACATTTAGGACTGGCCAGAGCTACAGAGAGAGGGATCTCCATTCCCTGAGCAGGAGAGCTCACTCAGGGCAGGGGATGGGAAGCACCTTCCAGTGCTTTGACAGCCCCTCTTAGGGAAGGGGAGCTGCCCTGTCTGCAGGGGAAAGAAGGAGCCATAAAAACCAGCAAGAAAAGAAAGAGCACAGAGAAAACCCACCCCAGAAGAGAACTGCTGCCTGTTTAGAATGATCACCCCGTTCCAAGCACAGACAGTTAGGAATGATGGGTAAAATTAGATTAAATGCTTTTCCTTAGGGTTTTGCCACGTGCTTTCAGAGTGACCTGCCAGTTCTTTCATCCCTGCTTTGACAAAGCTGCAAATGCACACTGCTAATGCACTTTGATGCCATGTATTAAACAGGCACCCTGTTAAACTCCTGTTGTGCAATAAAAGAGCAGAAGATGTTCAGATCCACAGCAGCCACCCAGCTGGGGATGTCAGCCCCTGTCCTCCTTTTGCATCCAGGAGCTCAGAACACGGCTGAGAGACCGAAATCCCGAGAGGAAAATTAGCTCCAGACTTTATTGGAGACACAAAAGCCTGCTGAAGGTCAGGCTGTGAACAGTAGGAGAGCCCCACAATTCATTCACACTCCCCAAAGAGGCAGGAAAATCGGTGCAAACTGGAGAGATTAGACAGGAGAAAAGAAAAATTAAGAGTGAGTTATTGTTGTTCTTCCCACCTGGCCCCAGTTCACACAGGGACAATGGAGAAATATTCTGGAAAGGCTGTCTGGGAAAAGGCATCTGAGAAGATACAGTGAAATTCTGCCTAACTGAAGAGTCCAGAGCTGTGTGTGCATCTGTGAAACAGGGGATTTTAAACCTAAAGCATTTCTCTTTCTGTAAAGTTTACATCAGCAAACCTGGAGAAGAAAGCCTGCCTGGCCCTGTATTATATCAATTTTCTTAGCAAAAGGGCAAAGGAAATGGCACATTTATTAAAAATTCACCATTTCCAGGGAGTGGCAGTGAATTGGTGCCAGTTAGAGGAAGAAATCTAAATGATACCTGTATCATATGTCTGTGTGCATATATATCCACATATATATATATTTATACACACAAATACACACTCACACTTACATTAGACATAATTTTGCACATGTAAATGTATTATGCAGACATAATTAGGCAAGCAGCAGTACAATTTCCAGCAAGTTTTCAGTGTGCTTAGCTGAAGAAGTTATTGATAGCTGAAACAATGTGAAGTGCCAAAACTTATTAAATTTAGCCTGGAATTCAAGAGATAAACAGCCCACTCAAACCTAAAACCCAACATATGGCAAGCCAATGAACACAAGACTTTTTGTCCTGCTCGAAAAAGATACTGGAAGTTAAAAAAACAAAGCTTAAACCAGCATCTCCAAAACACCAAAAATACTCCCCCCCATCCCTGCTTAAAAAGCATTTTCTCCTGATGGACAGGAAGCAGTTGGTAGCAAACACTGTCTACTCTTCTAGGCAGACAGCAGTAAATTACAGCCCTAAATGGGCATTTTGATACTAAAATAGACCTAAATTTGAACCATCCCTGGCCTGGTTTGGACATCCCACAGAAACTGGAGGTGGGAGAGCCCCAGCAGCCAAGGCGGAAGCCTGTGGGATCGGCCTGGCTCATCCCTGATCCCAGGTTCAGAGACAGGCAGCACAGAGGATGGGCAGGGAGGCTGAGCAAGCAGCTTTGGAAACCTCTCTGCTCTTTAAATAGAGGTTCAGAAAGGCCATGGATTGCTGCTGACATCTCCTTCCTGGGATGGAAGCAGGAAGCTGGTCTGAAATAAGTTAACTGGGAAAGCCAGCGGGAGATCACCCTTCTCCCAGAAAAAGGCCACGTGCCAGAGAGGTGAGTTCTGGTGTTTATGCCTAAGCTTTGATAGAAACTCTACTCTCTAAAGCACTTTCTGGGTCAGGGCAATTCATACTTTGAGCACTGAAGGCAAAGAAAACACACACTAACCCTGTTCCAGCCACTGCCCGAGCCTGGGAATAGCCCAGGTTGTACCTGTGTTCAGGCTGGGATCCAGAGAGAGCAGCCTGGGACAAAAACCAGGCAGCCACTGTCTAATAAAATACTCTTAAATGAAGTAAAAGGAGGCTGACCTGGTCTCCAGCTCCCACACACCACGGAGCAGTGCACCCCCTCCTGCAGCCCTGGGCTGGTTTGGAATGGGCTGTACCCTCATTCCCAGGCACTTCTCATCCTGCCTTCAAATCCAGCCCCCAGCACTCTGGGCACTGCTAAGTGGAGGCACTGAGAGAAGCACCAGCAAGAGGTTCTGGAAATGCAATTTATCTTCAGCTTTAAAAATAGGGCAGCATTTTGGACTAAATAAATAACTGGGGTTTATTTATAGGGAAGGTAATCAGGACAAAGGCAACATTCCTCCATGCCCATGGCACAGCTGAGCAGCAGTCTGTGCCTGTTTCCAGCCTAAAGGAAGACTCTGACTCTACAGCAAAACATCAGAGCAGCTCCTCCACAGCAGGTCATGACCATGTAAAAAGAACTAATGCTTTAAAAGAAAACAGAAATACACAGAGCAATTTCATTGCATGAGTGTCAGGACTGTGCATAAACTGAGGGATGGTTTTTCTCAGCAAAGACCTAAAGAGGCTGTGATGGAAATAGATAAGGGCCTTTAAATTGCTCTTACACAGAATTGCCACCAAGCCTCTGTCCATCATCTTTATTTTTGAGATGTGCTGTGGAGGGAAAACCCCACTACCAGGCCCAGATTCCACCAAGTCCCAAGCACTCCCCACGCCTCAGCCTGCGACACACTCGCCTGCTGCACTGAAGCTCATCCATTACTGCTGTTACAAGGCAGTTTTAATGCTACTTGGGGGTTCTGGTGATTTTAAGGCCAATTTGCAGAGATGGCTGATGGAACCTGTTTCATAATTAGCATGCTCCACACAAAACATCCCCCCTTTCCCCGAGCACCGTCTGAGCATGTGCCTGGGAGGAGATATGGAGAGCTGTGCTCAGGAGAATACGGCCTGTTTTGTACAAATTTGCATTTGGAACAAATATCAGCCTTTCAAAATCTCAGGCAGTGCAGAACATTCTGCAGCACTGACAGTTTATCAGAGCCAGCACTTGGCACCTTGGACTGCAGACAAGGCAAGGAGCCACACGACGACCCTTCCACGGGCAGGCACAGCAGATGCAAGGGAAGCACGAAGCCAGGGAGAGCCAACAATTAAATTGGAAGATAATAAGCAAACATCCTTGTTTTGCCATGGAAATTAAACTTGTAAAACCTCTGGAGGTGCTTAACAACCTGCCTGATAGGGTTCTTAAGCAGTCATGAGATCTGTAAATCTTGGGAGAGCTGTGAGGAATCATTTGGGATGCAGTTTCCAAAAAGCCTCACTCCTGGCATAATGAGATCAGCAGGAACAGTGTTCAGCCAGTATTGAGAGCTTTTATCCATGAAAACAGGGTAATATTTATGTATAGGATGAAAGTGTTGTTAAGCTCACGCTAATAATGCTTTTAAACTCCTTCCCAGCCCCAGGCAAGAACAGCACACTTCTGATTACACCAAATAAATAGTAATCAGTAGAAATTAATTTGCCAAACATTTAAAGTGCATCTTGCTAAAGCATATCCACACCTTCCTCTGGCAAGGACTTCTCACAAAGCTGTCTGTCAAAGGTGGTTACAGCCCTGGCTCTCACCCAGTGACAGCCTAAACACCCTCTCAACCCCCCTTGGGTGATCCCACTGCATTCAGCCTGTCTGGTTACAGCCCTGCACTCATCTAAATGATGTTTACATTCATTCCTTCAACACTTTCACAGGTCCACTGGTGCTTTTAGTGCCCCAAGCTGAGCATTATATATGACACTCAGTTCAGTTTTCTAAACAGACCAGAGAACAGTGAGCTGAAGAGTTGGCAGCAATTACCAAAATCCAGTTTTTAACAGGGTTTTAATTTCTTTCCTTTGTTTTGGAAAATGGAACTATTGCTCCCAATCATTTCTTATGGGGTTCTTTTGCACTAAAGCACAGTAAATAACAGCAAATGCATCCCTACAAAATGCAACCGACTATGGGATGCTGGTAAGGCAGATGGTAGACCCTATAAAAGCTGTTAAAAAGCCATGGGATACTGAAGTCACATTGAAATCAACACAAAAAGATCTGAGTAATTAAAACAGGACGATGATCCAGCCCTAATGCCCTTGATATAACAGAGCACTTGGTTGAAAAATATCTTTTGGGGTTAGCCTGAGACAACAGAGGCCACATTTCAGGTCTCTCTCTGGCACAGACTTTCTGGAGGACCTTGAACACGTCCGACAGGACCCTCCCTCTGAGCAGAGACACCACCTCAGCTGCTCTGAGAGCTGCAGATGTGCTGGTGGCTGAGCCCTCACCCGAGCCAGCCAATGCTAGTGAGGGTACAGAGAGCTGCCATTTAAACCCATGCACGAATTCTGAGCGGAGAGAACCGGGATCGCTCCTGGGAACATCCCAGCCAGAGGCAGGATGCGACAGGGAGCTCTGGCAGGAGGCAGGAATGAGCAACTACACACACTGCACTATAATTTCTTCCTCAGCACAGCTGGCCTGGAGGCTGCACATCTGTCCAGGTGCTGAGACAGCGCTGCAGAAATGGCCAGAGCAGCCCTGAACTCAGCAGGAGCTGCAAACCCCACGGGAGCACCGGGAAGCGCCGCTCGGAACTCTGTCACAGCACACGGCAGGAGGGAGCAACCTCGGGAATTAAAAGCCCTCCAGTGCTACCAAAGTACCCTGAAACCTTCATTTCTCCGTGTTTACTCACATCTGAGAGTAGTTGAATTAACCCCCACCCCCCACAGCGTTCCCCCCACAAATGAGTTAAAGATGGAAAGTTGATCCGTGATGGGAACTGCTGAGCTGCTTCAACACACAAACCAACCCTGAACTCCAGCACAAACACTGCTAAAGCAGAGGCCTGAAGTTCTTTGCTGAATCAATACATCAACACCATTATCTTTCCATCTAGGAGTACCCAGCCTGATTGTTTCCTCCTTGATGTTTGCACAAGCAACAAATACAAGTCAAGGCAGTTTGCTGTTGATGCCAGACTGATTGCATTTTTAGTTCTGTCAACAAGCTGGCAAAGGACCTCGGGCAAGTCCTGGAATGGTTCTGTGCCTTAGTGCCTTTCTTTTCTCATACAATAAGCAACACCTCCTTCACAACAGGGTTTCAACATGCTATGTTTGATGGGCTCTGTGCAGCTCTGATGAAGCCTCTACAAAACACACAAGGCTCTTGAACAAATGTCCACACTATTTCATGTGAAAACGGGGCTGCTGAGGTCAACTTGCTGATCAGAAAGACTTAAAAAGCTCTGTGGTGGAGAAAGAATCAAAAATTAAAGACATGAGGTGAAAAGTCCCTGACAGTTTCCTCTTGGATAAAGTGGACACGATCCAAAAATTCTTTATACTTTCTTTTCCTCTCTGCTCTCCCAGAGCTGGGTTTCTATTGTGGATGTGTTGAATGGTAGGTAGATGAGCTGCCTTTGTGGTCAGACAAGGGAGGGAGGGAGGGAAGGATTTCCTATGGCAGAACAAAGCTGAGTTATTGGTAACAAAACCCATGAATGTGCTGACTGTTAGGAAATTCTGGCCGAATTCTGTGCATGTGGGGCTCTGCACAAACACTTCACATTTGGGGAAATTATTTGAATTCAGTAATGTTGTCCTTTCTGGACATCTCCTCTCCCTGGTGCTCAGAACAAAGGACAAGAAGAATCTTTTTTCTCTCTCGATATATATGTCACTTAGTAACAAAAAAAACAGAATAGGCTGAAGCAGGATTTGGAAGAAATTGTGAAATTTCAGGTTGTTCTCGCAAGCTCATAAACTGTTCTGAACACCAAAAGATGCTGTTCCAAAGTGCACTCACCATCAGAATGTCTGCTGTGATAGCCCAGTTTGAAAACAGAAGAGTTTCTCCGATAAAAATGCAAATCTGTTGTAACAAAACACACAAAAAGGAGAAGATTTATTCACTTGACATTCAAAGGGAAAATAACCTGTCGCAAACTTGCCTTTGTTGCTTATTTGTCTCTTACCTACACAACACACTCCTTGTTACTGTTGTGGTTTATCCTGAATATTAGCAAACCATAGATTTGTATCAGAGCTCTAGAGGGTTGGCCTGCAATTTTGTTAGTGTAAACTAACTAAGTTTATGAACTACAGAGCAGCTAAAACAAAGGCTGACATATTTGGTTACGGTAGAACATGAGAAAGCAGAAAGAAGAGACAGCTTCCATACCTACAATCAGAATTGCTGAGGCTGGAAAAGGCCTGCAAGACCATCAAGTCCAACCTGTACCATTCTGTTCCAAAAAGCCAGTCAGAAAAGGCAAGAAGGCCCCAACTCCCCAGAGCACAGACATTTTCATCACCAGGAATGTTAACCCAGTTATGTGTTAAACTCTGTAGCACATCAGATGAGGTGGAGGATCCCTTCCCACCCCAGTGGCACAGCAGGGGTGACATCTGTGTCCAGCCAAGACAGGAATTAAGTATGGGTTTGGCAACATCAGTGCCTTGTGGTGAAATACAACCCCTGGCTCTTTGGAGATGGTCAGCAAGAGACATTAAAAGCCAAGGAACTGCAAGATGGCATGATGTGGCCACTGCCACTGTCTTTCCCACACACCAGCTGAGGTTCCCTAAACCCCTCAGACCATCATGTCACTGCCAGGAATAATTTGCTTTATTTAGCAAGTCTTACACACCGACCTACAGAAGCTTCCTCTATTTGTTTCTAAAATTGCCTTTGTTTCCCACACATTCTCCCTCCCTATCCCCTCTCTCTGTGACTGGATCTGTTTCCTCTGTGATGGTGTGGGCAAGGAAATCTCCATTCCCACCTTCCCACTGTCCACTGGTCTGCCCTGAACTTGGAAATGCCAACTGCCAAGCTCAGGACACAGATCCACTGAACCAAGGTGCTGACAGGAGCTGGAGCCACATGTCCCACAGCAAGGACTTCTCAGAGCCCCAGGTGGGCTCTCAGACCTGCTCTGAAACGTGTCCTGCCACAGCTTTGCTGCTGCTGGGGTTCTGTGGCTGGCTGGATCAAACTGAGCTTGGCAGAGATGGCATCACACTTCCAAATGCAGCATCAACAAGCCCTGCCTGCTCATACACAGTGCAAACAGACAACTGCTTGCCCTGAGGTTATGTGAAGTGCACACATGGATGAATTGTTACAGGCAGCAAGGAGGACTTGCCCCTCGTGCAGGAATTCACTTGAATTCCTATAAGTCCTATATTCCTATAAGTCCTATATTCCTATAAGTCCTATATTCCTATTAATTCCTATATTCCTATCAAGTCCTATAAATAAATCACTGACATGCTCCAGACTTCAGAGTGCACCAGCTCTCAGCTGTTGAATGTGTTATTTCACCCGTTCCATGAACCATGTGCTTGATGTGTGGCTACTGGTAAAAGGAGAAGAGGAACAAGAGGAAGATCAAAAAGCAGGACAAAAGATACTGACATTAAAAAAAAAATGTCTGTCCTTCAGCTGCTAATGGGGACTTCTAAAAACGAGTTCATGCACTGCAAAGGGCAAATGAGGATATGTGATGTTACTGCTGGAGAGAGAACTCTAGGGATGCTTACTGCAAATAGGGCAGCTCCAGAACAGATCAATAGCTCCTGAAATGCTCATAGGTTTGACTCCTCACACACTTTTTGAAGCCTCACTTTACACTGAGATTTCTGCTCTGTGAAAACATCCTCTTCTGACTCCAGCTGTGTCACATCTCACCATCTCCCTTTGGTGTCCAGCTGCTCACCTGTGCTGAGCTGGCAGAAGTTATGTCCCCCTTGAGCCATTCTGTTTAAGTGAGTTAGCAAATTCTGATTCCCCAAAATTATAAACAAAGTAGGTTTCAGAGTGGTCCCCCCAGGAGATCTCACAGCAAGACCTAAGCAGGTTATAAACTCCTTCCGTGGTACCCGTCAACATCTTCATTATTTGTATTTCTCTCTGAAATGGTGGGTAAGACACCCTCATATCCTCTTGGATGTGGAGCAATTCCAGCTCCAGCTCAGTGCTGGGCAATGCTGATGCCTCAGGAACAGGCAGGTCACCAACACCACATCACCAGGAAGTCCCTGGAGCTGAGACTGAGCTGCTGTAAAAGCTCCATGGCAAGGTTTTACCCTGGGATTTGCTGTTTCTGCAAGATCATAAAATGTCTTTGAGGAATTGAAATAGATGCTGAAATTGAGGAACTTGGAACAGTGTCAAGAGGAAGGAGAAGCAAAGCATCTCTCTCCAGTCATTTGGAGATTTAAAGGAGTGTAAAATCAGCAGCTGAATTGCCTGAGCTGTGTGAGATGATGATGCCACACAGATAATGGGTTTCCAGAGACAGGTTTGAAAACCAAGGTTCCAAAGAGTACATATTTCAGAAAGAGTGGGACCTACAGATGTGCAAATTGGTGTTTAAGGAGCTGGATTACAACACACACTGCAAGGAAAACTGAATAAGAACTGATTGAACTATACAGCCAAGTGAGATTGTAAAAGAGAGAAATACAAGTGTGTGGGAAGCAAAGTGACACAGAAAACTGGTTTGTTCCACCTTGCCAGCCACTTCTACCACTGCCAATAATTGACTGGATTAATATGAAAAGACTGGATGGAAAAAAGTAATTTGTCTCCCTGCTCCAGGTAGGAATGGCTGCTACAGAACTGGAATAGCAGCTGCCCCCAGAGACCAAAAGCACCTGTAAGAGTGAGCAAGGGAGAAAAAGTACATGTGTTCAGGGGAGGAAGAGAGCAGAGAGCATGTAAGGGCCAGGGGGATCATGCTCATGGATGTGCAGGTTTTTTTCCAGAAATATAAAGCCTATAAATCCAAGAGCTCTGCAGGTTCTTGCTGGAGTGCTGAACACTTCATTTAAGCTGATGCTGACATTAAAAACTCTCAAGTGTTAACTAAAGCAGGGAGGGAGATGGTGATCTGGGGGCCACCAGAGCTCAGTGTCAGAGATCACCATCTCATGGGGAGCCATCCAACTGCTTGGAAGGAAGAATTTTAAAGCCAGTGAGGGGTCCAAAACCAATAACTGTCAATTTTGACATGGTGTGATCCATGACAGCAGTCTAAGGACAGGCACACTACAGAAGGTGGGCAAACAGCCCCATGCTGGGGGACAGGTCAGAACACTGCTCTTGCCTTTCACAGACACACAGAACTCGAGGATGTGAGTCAGGACAGGAGCTGTGAAGGAAGATATCAGAGAGGGGAAAATCATCCCACAAGTTTTCCTGTATTGTTTCCAGCAGGAGATTTTATCATGGATTTTGAGATAAGGAAGGGAAACCCAGTCCACCATTCTGTCCACCATAGCTCAGTGTTCCAGCTCCAGAGTCACAGGACAGTCTCTCCTTCCTTTCAGACCACTGAGACTTAAAAGAGAGAGCAAGGAGAAACTTCTACACCAAGCAACCTTGCAAGACATGTCTCCCAGTGAAATACAAGGGAATTAAACACTCTGGAAGACTGAAACAGCTTTGAATGGCATGGAAAAACAAGGGCTGGTGTTTGAAACTTGCCTTGAAAAGTCAGTTCAACTGATACATGGCACTGCCACGTAATACCTTGTGTTACAAGACACTGGTAGCTCCAACACAGACCTGTCCATCCTTTTTAGGATCAGGTTTCCAGCAGCAGAGAGAGCACATTTAGGGTTACAGACAGGCAGTGTTACCTGCTTCAGCCTAACAGCATCACAAACTGGCTCATGTTCCTCAAACTCCCCCCATATGCAGCTATAACTCCCTTGGCAAATCATTGACTCTTTATTAGATTTACTGCCCATTCATAATAAAATAAATTGTTTTTAAGACTGGTTAAATAATACTATCTATATTTACATGCTTATATAATGCAGAATAGTCACATGGCTATTAGAAAACAAAAGATAAAAATTAGATCAATGGCCACCTTTGGCTGCACAATTTTTGAAAAGAGCATTTCCAGCTTAGAAATGGAGGGGTTTCTGCATGAAGAGACTGAACACCACAAATGAACATGTCATTGGGTCTGAGAAAGGAGAAAATCACACAGAGGTGGAGGGAGCAGGTGAGGGATGTGATGGATCTTCACTCAGAGACAGCTGACAGTGAAATGTTAATGCTTCACCAACCAGTAACAGCCTCTCACAGGTTGTCTGAGGTGATCATTTTTCTGCTGAACCAAAGGTCAGTTCTAGCCCAGGCCACAAACCAGAGACCTGAATCTCCTTCTGGCACTTTCTAAACAGCCAGAGTGGACATTCTGGGTCCCGTCTTAGTCATGTTGAACTTTGACTCTTTCTCCTTGTGCTTCCTCACAACAATGGCAGCTACTGAAATACTCACCAAATAACCATGGCCAGGCTCGTGCCAGAAACACAGAGAAAGGAGGAACAGCAGTTGGTTGGTTAATTGTAAGTGAATTCTCCTTGTGGGTGGAGTGTGCACTGCTGTGTGGAGGCTGAGGGAGGGCTTTCAGAAGGGATCCCACCACTCCAAACACCTCCTGCTTTCCCTTCAAAAACTTCTCCTGGGTCCCTGAACCCCAGAACCCTGAACTCTTCCAGAACCCCACATGTTCTCTCTGTGGTATTAAAAGGGAACCCAGGATCTGTTCAGAGACTGGATTTCCACTCCCTACGGGAAGCAAGATTTTAGCCCAAGGCTGGATTATTACAGTTGAGCTTTTCCTTTTCCCTTCAGTCTAAAAGAGGGTTGATTTAGATTAGATATAAGGAAGGAGCTTTTTACAAAGGAGGTGGTAAAGCACTGGCACAGGTTGCCCAGGGAAGCTGTTGCTGCCTCATCCCTGGGAACATTCAAGGCTGGGTTGGACAGGGCTCTCAGCAACCTGGTCTGGTGGAAGGTGTCCCTGCACAGTGCAGGGAGGTTGGACTAAATGACCTTTAAAGATCCCTTCCAACCCAAACCATTCTATGATTCTATTTGCCTGGATCTATTTACTACCCTTTTGTATAATTCAATTAGAAATGCTCGGGGAGGGGCCATATTTTAACCTGCATTTGTGCAGCATCCAGGACTGTGTGTTCCTGGGCTGTGACTGGGGCTATGGTGATACAGATAACAGCAAACTGAAATCACCCAGTAATTAATACTGGTCTGCTGCAATCCACCCAGTTATGGAAATGAATGGTACTTAAAGGCAGCCCAAAGCATGCCCACAAACGACACTGTAATTATAACCTGGTACCACTGCAGCTACAATACCCTCATTGCAAGGGAAGAGGTCGATTTTCCTGTACCAACACATTGGGTAAGAGCAATAAAAAAAGGTGTGGGTGGAGGTACAGAGAGAACAGACCTGTGGGTTCCCATGGCTGATGACAGTCAGCCAGCAGGGATGAGCAGCTGAGCTACTGGGCACCCCCAGCCTGGGCCAAAATGCCAAAAGCAGAAGCAAGACAACACCTCAGGCTTCCTGCGGGGGACAGTGAAGGGAGTCTGGGGGGAACTGGCACACAGGAAGGATCACACTTACATAGGCTCCCACGATGCTGCTCTTGGCAGCCACGAAGATGAGGCAGATGAAGATGGCAGAGCCCAGCATGCCCACGGCACACACCAGCGGGTCCGCCCGCTGCGTCTTCAGCCGGCACCACTTGGTCGCTCCCGCCCCCGTGATGACACCCAGGAAGCCAGTGAAGCACGTGATGGCCCCGAAGATCAAGCTAGGAAATAAAAAATAAATAAATAAATAAAAACAACAGGCAGGTGTGTGGGGTTTGGGGTTTTTTTTTTTTGGAGTTTTTCCCAAAAGCGGGCGCGGCCGAATCGCTGGGGTGAGCTCCCGACTGGGAACTCAGTCATCAGCTTCACAGATTGAAAAATGAGATTTAAAATTTTAAAAGTATTTAAGTAGATTTAAAAAAAAAAAAAAATCAGAAATCAGAAGAGCTCCCCTGCTGAGTGCCGGTGGTTTTAGCCCTCTTCCCCTGTAATTCAGAAAACTCAGCCTCGTACACAGGCACTGATCCCTGGGCAAAGGGCTCACGCTGCTTCTTTGGGTGGAACTGAGCATCCCACAGAGTTCCCTGTACAGCTAATTTTGCATGCACAGAACTAACTAATAACCTGCACATTGATCCTGTAATGGGAAATCATGGACAGAACAGGCACCAGGAAGCTTAAGGGAAGGGAAACCTAAATAAGACTCTTAAATACCACGATTTTCAACACACCTTGACTTTACAGCTCCTTTCAGACCACTTCAAAGAAGCCTTTTGCTGTTGGGTTACACACTTGAAATGTGTTAATTTCATTTTAAAGAGCCAGGAGCTGTCAAGGATTCTCTGTACTGTACGTGCAGCACTTGGATTACAGAGTCTTTGGCAACTCCATTAGAGTAGCTCCAGGGCAGCTCAAAATCAAGGTGTCATCAAGGAGGGGAAAACTCTCTGTAAATAGCAGACTGGGGCTGTGTTTTTTGCTCACTGCATTTTTGCAGAGCAGCCTGAGCCTGCCTGCTGGACACTGGTTGATGGGACTCCAAACCACTCAGTAGTTTACTTGAGATGGGATTATTCAGCTAGAGCAAGAAGGTTTTCCTACTGTTATTTTCCCTAAAAAGCAAAAAAGCTGACAAAAGGCAGTTTTTCCTATCTTTTATTTACCTGGAGAAATGCTTTTATAGCATTTTCTGGTTTGTGCCATCATGCTGGGGCACAAGGATTACTTTTCATAGCTCATGTGCTGCAAGTGATATTACATAACCAGGACCAAAAACCCAAACCACTGCACAGCATCAAGCACTTCAGCCCAAAGTGTCCCAGATCTCTGTGACATTCTTCAGCACAACTCAGCAGGCACAGCAGTTTACAGAGCAATGAAACAGTGAAGTCCTGCCTCACACAGAAACAAAAGCCTCCCCTGCAGCTTTAGGGGAACCATTCCAACCTCCAAATTACAGCCACCACTGGGGCTACCTGCTCTGTCACAGATGGGTCTTAAGGAGCCACGTTCTCAGCTCTCCAAACATCCTCTGAGGCAAAGACAAAAGTCTCTTTTCTACCCTGCACCCCAGCCTGGGAACTAAGAGAGCTGAGGTCATTGCTTCTCCCTGCATTTGACTTCATGCAATGAAGAAGAGAAATAAACCCTAGTTTACAATCCCAGCATTTCCTATCATTGTTGCAAGGGCCTAGAGGAAATGACAGACATTCTAGTGACTTGACTCTGTGGGACCTGCCTGTTTCCTCTGGTAAATAAGCCCCCACCCCCCTTTCCCCCCTCTGAGTCTGCCTCTCACCTATCTTTGGTGCCGCAGGGCTGGGAGCTGCAGGTCTCTGCTGTCTTCTGCACCACCTGTGCCCTGTGCAGGTACAGAGGGATCCACATGCCAAGTGCCCCCGTGGCAAAGGAGACAGCTGAGGTGGCCAGGGAGGAGAACACGTAGCTGCGGCTGCGGAGGCAAAGCCAAGGGGAGGTTTAGTGGGAAAAGGGGAAAAGCAGGAGCCCCACACGGGAGCCAGGGCTTCACAAAACAGTGTTCCCCCACACCTGCCACCTCCCTTTGCCAAGGCAGGGATAACACAAGGTGTAAAGCAGTGGAGAATAAGAAGCATGGAGTATTCACAGGGGATGCTCCACTGCCAATAATGCACTGGACTCTTCCGGGGCCATTTTTCACGGGACCATTTCAGAAGATAATCAGTACTTAGTCATGATGTGTGAATTACAGAGCTGTCACCCTAATGTCACCTGTTTAAATGGATGGCAAGTTTCACTTCCCCCTCCCCATCCATGCCACCATGTGATTGCCACTTGCATAAACTACCAAAAGAAGTAACACAGAAATATTGACAAATTATGCATCATCGCTTCTCACAGTCCTTTGACACTGGATGACAATACCAGGAAGGCATTCCAGCCAGCAGTCCTAAAAATGAAGGACACCACAGTTTCCCATCAGAATTCCAATGTAACACTGAATTCACAAGTGCAAGTACTTGTACATTCACAGCCCAGCTTTCTGGAGGGAAGCACAGCTGCTTAAACACTCGTGAGCATGTGATCTTTTATGCACACATACAAGCACCCAAACACATTCAGTGCTCGTAGATTCAGTCACAAGTGGTTGTGTAAACATATATTTAAACTTGCCATGTAGTGTAAGCTTTTGTGTATTTTCTCCTCTTTTTTTTTTTTTTGGCATTTAACTCTCTTTTTCCCCCCAGTAAAGTAGCTCTTTTAAGGAAGAAAAGGGATCTAAGTGATCTGAACAACAGTGCCACAACAATTAATAGAGGAGCACAGCAATTTCTCCACTTCAAAAGACTTGATTTGTGTGAAGTATGAGCCAAACAAAGCAGACTCTTTCTTAGATGTCAGTCTTGGAAAGGTTAGAGCAGAAGTTGGAATGCAGCATCATCGCTGCAGTCAATACCTCATGTAACTGCCATTTTCTTTCCCAGGTCCACAGACTAAACTTCCTGCAACTCCCTGCATGTCATCACTTTCCAGTGCTAAATCCAGGCCACTGGATGTTCCAGTTAAGCACTAGAGGCAAAGCATGGTTTTTACAAGTGCTCTTACTTTCTAATCAGTGCTTTCATGTCTCTCAGCCACGAGGTCCGAGCCTTCAGCTGCCCCCCAAGTTGTTCAGCATTTCCTCTTTTAGCAGCAGGAACAAATATCAAGATGAGTGTCCCTGTTATCATTCCCAGGAGTGGAGATACCTGCAAGAAAGGGGCAGGGAATTAGCACAGGAGTCCAGGAGGGTTTGCTTTGACTGGTCAGTGAGAAGCAGATTACATTGGCTTGGTTTCAGGGACTGTTCAAGTCAGAATCTGTGAGCACTCGAGGCATCCACTCCTTTCCTTCCTCCCTGTCATTCCCTGGGCTCTTATCTCACTCTGGAAACATGCAGCTTTGACAATCCCTGATTAAGGCAGTCTGTTGTGTTAATAAGTACAAGATTCATCAAAATACTGGTTCTTAGTGATGTTTAGCTCTTTGGAAAGCTGCTCCCAGCTGGGCTGAGAGACTTTCTGGGTGAGTGCAGAAACCTTTTCAAGGCAAGGGTGAAGGATTTCTGGATGTAGGGAGCATTCTGGCTTTGAAAACCCTTGCTTGGCATGCCTCCTTCTTCCAGCCAACCCACAGTGGCTTCCCATTTTCAGGCATCTCCCTCAGATAACCTCAGTGTACAGCAGACCAAGAAACACTGAAAATTCAGGCCAGGAGGCAGGAAAAGGACACATTCAAGGGTTAGGCTTCCCAGTATCCAATCCTTTCTCCCAAGCACTAGACAAAAATACAAAGATCCCACAGTGCTTTGCAAGCTACAAACACTATTCTTGTTTTGACACTGAAATTCCATTATTGATAGAATGGAAAATAGCTCCGTTAGGAAAATAGGAACATGGATTTTCACTGAACTATCATCCCACTTAGACATGCTATTTAAAAAATAAATCCCTGTTCCAAAAAATATGCTTCCGTTATTAACCTGAGAATGGCCTTTACACTTTGAGCAGTGTTTCATGTCCAAAGATGACAAACCCACAGTTCTGCTAGGAAAGAGAAGACAAAAGTATTTCAGAACCGGAAAGTCAGGAAAATCCCTCATCCAGGAATAAAGGAAGGCTGATACAATTTCCTTATGACAGCTGAGCACAAGGCAGCACTGGTAAAAAAACCAGAATTGCTGCTATTTTTTAGGGCCAGATAATTTCAAGTCTCCTTGATTTTTATCTAAAGGCTTAAACCCCCACCAGGACAAAATCCACTGACAATATCCATGGACACTCAGTAGTGCTCCCAGGAAACAGCCACATTACTGTTGGATCCAGAGACAAAGCTGCCACTCGTCCATGTGTCCTTCTGTCTTCTTCAGCCCACTGAAGTACAGATCATTCCTGACCTCTCCTGGATTTGGAGCTCATAGGAGATCACAGAGGGAAGCATCACCTTGGGCAATCATTCACATCTTGCAAGAGGCACAATAATTGCCACAGGGATGAAAAAACTGCTTTACACTGGTGTCTGGAAGCCTTCAGTGTGTGCTGTGTGACTACAAAATCTGAGCAATGCTGTCCAAAGGAACCACCCCTGGCACGTGCAGCTCATCAGATTCCCAGTGATTTTACACTCAGGGAATCATGCACCAGTGTGTCATTTACAGTGGAAATCATGACTCTGGAAGGGTACAGTCTTGCAGATAGCCTGGATGTCTCAGGATAACTGTGGAGACACCATCTGAAGAGAAAAATGCTGGTGAGGATCCCTTTGCACAAATTACCCACTCGGGTTTTTTGGCCAGATTTGGGTTTTACAAGAGCACTCTGGTACATCAACCTCCTTAGAGCCCCCTGAGCAGGAGGAGGGGGCTTTGGGGAGCTCATTCCTTGTGCTGGCCTCTGCTCAAAAGTTAATTTTACCCTCAAGTATTTCTGCTGCTGAATGCTGTAGCCAACCTGCTGGTGTGAAGCTGTAGGACATTGCACTTTCTCTCCCAGGTTCCCAGCTGGGAAATGCCCTCCCACCCTCATGGTGCTGTTCTGGCTTTGCTCCTCCTGGGCATGGCCTGTGTCACAGAGGGCACATTTTTTTGAGGTGGGAACCCATGGATTTCATCACCTGCTGGTATAAATGGTGTTGGCCTGAGCTCCAGGGGATTCATGAAGTGCCAGAGCCAGAGAATGCACCTCACATGGGCTCGTGCCACTCTCACCACCAAAGGTCAGGAACCAGTTCTGCTGGGCCACTTCCTCTCGGCTCTTTCAAGACATCTTTGTGTGCAGGATCTGTTTGTGAGCATGTGATTGGAGTGGATTATCTTTTCAGCACGTTTATCAGGGTCCCAAGAGGTTAAAATAGAAGGAAACCGACTGTCTCAGGGCAGAAAAACAAGCGGAAACTGGAACAAAGTGTTTTTTCCTCAAAGCAGGAAGCCATTCTCGGAGTTTCTTGACAGCAGGGGACTGAAAGACTGTGGAGTTGATTTAAGGCCAATGCCTCATCTTCCCATCCCCATCAAGAAATCATGGGTGATTGATAATAAAGAGATTGGAAAATTCTTGCTCCCAGGCAGGGAAAACACCAAGTACCACAAGCCAAGCCCACACACCTTTCCCCTCTGCTTAGGGAGTGCATCTGCTATGCACTGAACATCCATGGCTGTAATCTCCAGTCCTTTAAACTTCCAGATATAATAACAGGTCGAACAACTGTGTGATGGAACTCTCCCTAACACAGATCAATCAATTAACTCTCATTAAGATGTGATTACCAGGGACTTACCCTCAAGGCCCAGTGCCAGTCTCCAGCAACCTGCTTCACGCTGGACCCAGTGATGTATCCCAAGCCACTGCAAGAAATGCCAAATGAGGGTTGGTCAGAGCTTTAGGAGTGGCACAGTCACAGCTGTTCTTAGACAAAGATAAAGAGAGGCACAACCAACTCTTGGGCTCTCTTCTCCTGCAGGAAGGAACACGGGGATTGAAGCAGATGGTGGCCAATATGTGACTCTTCCCAGCACTGCTGATCTAAAAATGCTCAAATCTGATGGAAATTTGGAAGTTTATAGCTGACCTTTCAATCTACAGTGCATGGAAGCAAAGCCTCAAAAGGAATGTATTTCCCAATGTAATTTCTACATCAGGCCTTCCCGTGTGCCAATATGAATATTAAACAATTTTATGTTCAAGCTCTCAGTTAAAAAGTGCCCTTCAAGGACACACCATATTCCATAATTTAATTTTTTTCTTGTCACTCAACAGCACTTGGTCCTAATTACCCACTTCCCATAAGCCTGTAAGAAGAACCAAGAAGAACATGCAAGACAGTGGGGTGGGAGAAATCAAACCTGAAGCTGTGAAATCACATCTGGAGATTAAGAAGCAACAGGACCTTCAGCCCTAAGACAGGAGGTGGCTCAAAGACACTGAAAGGTGAATGTAGCCACACTTTTCTCCACATGAGCTGAAGGAATGTGAATATCCCTTTTCAAAACTGCTGCATTTGTGGCTGAGATGGCCTTGGCTACAAGTTGCCAGGATTGCTGTGGGGCAGCTGAGCCCTCACCTGACTTTACTGAAGCCTGCTGAGCTTTGGGGGTTGCCAGCTATAAGTACCCCAAAACTGAGCTTTTTACACAGAGAGGCTCCAAAAGCAAACTGTGGATCACCACAGAATCATGGAATAGTTTGGGTTGGAAGGGATCATAAAGACCATCTCATTCCACCCCCTGCCATGGGCAGGGACACCTTCCACTAGCCCAGGTTGCTCCAACCTGGCCTTGGACACTCCAAGTGATGGGGCAGCCACAGCTTCTCTGGGCAACCTGTGCCAGGGCCTCCCCACCCTCACAGGGAGCAATTTCTTCCTAATATCCCATCTAATCCTGCCCTCTTTCAGTTTACAGCCTTGCCCTATCACTCCATGCCCCTGTAATCCATGTCACTGTTGGATATTGAGATATTTAAGTGCCAGAATCAGGCTCGACAGGATGAGTATTTGTGATTTCTTGCTAGCCATAGTTCACTGAATTCTCTATGTGAATACTTGGAATCTTTGGCCCTCTTGGCAAAATATTCTTTTCATCAGTTAAGGACCTGTTTCTCTCTTTTTCCTCAAGAGCAAAGGGATGTTTGTGAGTTTTGTCCTAGGGATGAGTGCTCTAACTTGTAAAATGCACCACCAGAAGTTTGTCTCTGAGTTTGGGACATGTTACCCATGTATTTTCTGCTGCAATGAACCCCTGATGCCCCTTTTGCACAGGATGTTGTCCCACTCTGGGAACTGGAATGCAAAGTATGCAAACCCTCCCTGCCTACAACCTCACAATAGAGGGTCAGCCGTTATTTTTAAAAAAATAAAAATAATGACAGATTCCCTCCTGTCCCAACAATCAGATACTGTGTTGGGCTGATAAGGAAACACAACTGAAAGAAACAGTCAGCTAAAATATTTTGATTCCATTTCCACTCCACTGCTGTAAAAAAAGAGGGAAAAAAAAAATCCTTCCCACTAATTCCCAAAAGTCACACATGAACCAGCAACAGGGCCAGAAAAAGAATCTAATTCCTGCTACTAATTAGTCACAGCTCACAATATTTTCCTGTCTAAACCACTCCAACCAAAGACAAGAACTATCATCATCAGCAACCTCAGATCTGCGTGAGTTTGTTTAAGTGAAAAGGCAAAACCAGGCCCAAGAATTTTGGTGCCACTTACCTGCCCAGAGGAATTGCAAAGTAGAAGACAGAGAGCATGAGGGTCCTCGTGTTTTTGGTGAACAGGTCTCCGATGATGGTTGGGGCAATGGTGGAGTAACTCGCCTCTCCGATGCCAACCAGACCCCGGGAGAGCACCAGGAGCCAGAAATACTGAGAAAACAAAGAAAAACATTACCAGCTATCCCCTTGCCTTTTTTTTTCTTTTCCTTAATTCAGGACAGACGACAGCAAAATCTGGGAAAGCAGGGAAATACAAAGCCCCGTGACTGGAAAATGATCCTCTTGCACCCATTTATTTTTTAAAGCCTCACACTCGTTTCATTTGTCTCCTGCTGGGAGGAAAGGGACTGTAATTTTTATGAAGATTTATAGGCATGAAAGGAAAGTAATAATAAAATGTTTACTCAGTGACACTCAAGAATACATTTTAAAAGAGGCAGAAGACCCTCAGTCTGTTCCCAGGACGCAGCTCAGTCTTGCTAAGCCCAAGTTCGGAAGGTCTGGGGAGGTGGGTGAGTTTAACAAACCCTGCTCTGAAATGCAGAAACAGCAACACCTGCTGAGGCCAATCCAACCCTCCCCAGGGTGCCAAGGGACAAGCTCTGACTGTGAAAGCCCAAAGCTGGGAAAGAGTTGAACCCCCAATCCCCCAAACAATTTTTTTCCTTCACTAAAAGCCACGGAATAAGGGAATCTTTCAAAGGTTAAGGACCCATCTCACTCCACTTGCCTGGAACAGCAGCAGACACCTCCCCTCACAGCAGGGAGGCAGAGTAAGAGGCACTGAACAGTCCCAAAAAGCCTCAGTCCCAATCCCAGCTGCACAAAGAGGAGACCTGAGCTTCACTGGGAGCCCCAGGAACATCCTTGTGCTCCGTAAGCAGGACCTGCAGGTGAACGACTCAGCCACACAAGGCAAGGGAGGGATTGGGCTGCCCAGGGAATTCCAGGCCTTTCTGAGGAAAGCTCAATCCCACAGGACGAGGATATACTTCACATTCAGCATAACTCAGCCTAAAATGGACCAAAAGGAATTGTTCATCTAACAGATTTTTTTTTTCGTGGCCTGTTTCCCTATTTCAGCAACACTTTTGTGAACTGCAAAGACCTGATTTTCAACCTGACCTTTCACTGCACCTGCAGTTTTCTGAGTGCTGCCCTGTGCAGGAATAAGGCACAATGCTTTGATGCCTGAACACCTGATACATGAGCACAAGCAAGTTCTCAGCCTATCCAAGCATCTTGAGCTGCACCCAGGAGTAATTGCAGGGGCAGAAATTAAACAGTCAATGCACAAAGTTGTAAGCACAGGGCAATCTGTTCCTACAAATGTAACCTCTACAAATCCTCAGCTTACTGTTGTTATTCTAGAGATCATCTGTGAGAAGAACAGCAGGGATTTAAACTGAGAGAGGGGAGGTTTGGATTAGATATTAGGAAGAAATTCTTCCCTCTGAGGGTGGGAAGGCCCTGGCACAGGTTGGGCACAGAAGCTGTGGCTGCCCCATCCCTGGAAGTGTCCAAGGCCAGGTTGGACAGGGCTTGGAGCAACCTGGGCTAGTGGAAGGTGTCCCTGCACATGGCAGGGGGTGGAATGAGATGGTCTTTATGGTCCCTTCCCACCCAAACCATTCCATGATTCTGTGCTCATGATACGTCCTTAAACATGGAAGTGCTTTGAGAATAATGAGCAATTACTGATTCTCCTTCTTCAGATGGGAAAAAGCTGAGTGCAGGGAAGTGCCTGACTTTGTGCCCTACAGCAAAGCCCAGCCAGAGTCCAGCCCTCCCTCACAAACGTGGACAGTGCCATGCAGACACCAAGCCACGTGCCTGGGTCATAAATACATCCAGCAGCAGCCACAAATCTGCCACTGAGGTGTGTGCATTGTTCTCCCCACTGCAATCCCCTGGCTGAAAAGAATTCTTTCGGGATTCCTAGAGCCACACAAAACAAATACTTGTGTGCACTCTTCACTTCCTCATATTTTGGTGGGAATTGTGCCCCAGTCCCCATTTTCTGAGGGGACACAAGTTCCTTGTTTGCTGGCAGGGCGTGTGCAGTGCTGCTCACACGTCTCCCACACCTGACGCACACGTGGGTGGAACAGAAAGGGCAATACTGTGACTCAGATTAGTTTAATTTATGCCAGTTCCCCAACACTCAGCCACCCCAGTGCAGAAATATGCTGACAGTGATTGGTGCACAGGTAACCAATGCATTTGGGATGAGCAACAGCGCTTATTGCATGCTGAAAGGCTTAGTCATGCAGAATTAGAAAGCAGGGAACTGGAGGCTGACTGTGGTTTCTGAAGAGGTTCAGATGTGCATCACAGGGAGGGTAACAGTCACCTGCCAGGCCTGGGATGAGTATGGACAGTGCTCCTTACACCTGCAGAATGACAGGTTTGGAAATGCACTGGATGTTCCTCAAATTTGAAATACCTACAGAAAAATGACACCATTTTGTGCTCACCAGCCAGCATCACTCCCAGGGAATGCACTGGACAGGAATTTCCTCCAAACAACGTTGTTAGAAGGCTCCTCTTACAGTCCTTGTGTAAAGCAGGAAAACTGTACAAAGGATTCCTTTTGTGGTAAAGGAGTGACTCGGTTTCATCAACACCACGGAATCAGAGGCCCAATACAATGAAATAATCTGCAACAAGTAAGACATTCACTCTTCTCTCCCAGTTCCTCCTCAAATCCTCCTCCTCCCTGGCTTATCCCATGCTGACACACTCCACATATCTGTTTAATATTTAAACTATGTTCTCTGCAGCAGCGGTATCCAAATTTAAGTCATGAGATTCCGACTGCAGTTGGGAATAAAAGCAGTCTTCCAAAGCACAGTCCACATAAACACCTCAGTGGTATTGCCCTTCTGAGGTCAGATATTCAGGGCTATGGCCTGTGCAGCTATTCAGGTGTGACAACTAGGGAAAACATACAAAAACCTGAAACAATTTAGGGAATTCTTCTGCCTGGTTTTGGAGCTCTAGATCTAGGATTAAAGTGCTAATACCTCTTCTTATCCAGTTGTTCAGGATCTTTGCCTAACAATCACCCTGTTAGAACCCATACAATAAAAGTCAGCAGTAATTTGTTACAGTGAGATGAGACCCCCCCATCTTCCACCCCTAGTCAGGCACTCAAAACTTATATTTTAGTTGTCTCTGAAGAGGCAGAGCTGGGGAGCCCCCTGGGACAAAAACTAGTCCTTTCCTTGTCTTTTTGCTTTTCATACAGGAAGGAAAAAAACCACAAACAACAAAATTCTTATGGTGCTGCTCACTTGGACCACGGGAACACCACAAACCGCTTAGAAACTGGCCCTGAAACCACCACGTGTGCAAGACAGACAACTGCTATTTTTGTGTGCATCTGTGCACATACATGCATGGGAACATCCCCCTTCCTCTCCAAGTGGATGTGGACATGACAACCAGCACAAACAAATGGCAAAGGCAGATGTGACACACGCAGAGGAAGCTCCGTTCTCCTCCATGGCCGTGCCAGGACACCTCCACCATTTCCTTGGCACTGGATTTTTTCCCCCAACTGCTCATCCCTCCCTGTCTGACCCCAGGGTTCTCAGCAGTTTAGGGACACCAAAAGGGCTGACACCAGCCCAATTCTCTCTGCAGTATCTCTGTGCTGAAAAGCAGAACAGGCAGCTCAGGCTTTAACTGCATTTCACTGTTCCCCGAGCAGGAATTGATATATATTGAAGAAGCTTGTTCCTGTCTATATGACTTGAGAACTCTTCTGTAATTTGTTTATCAGTGCAAATAGGTCTCTGGCAGGAAAATTGGAAATATCTGAGTCAGCTTTCAGGACCAGAGCTAATTTCTTCCTTGCAGGTTAAGCCCAGCAACCTCAACACTTCACATGAAGTGCTTGAAACCGAAGTTTTTTTGAAACAAAGAGCTGTGACAGCAAACAATTTATTTATGTCTTTAATTTTGGTTAGCAGTCATGTCAGAGATGTCTGCACCTCCACGAGAGCTGTCAGCATCTCCTGGGGTTTGGAGAGATGCAATGGGATTTTTGGAATGACTTCATGGCATCAATCCCCCTCCCTGCTCCGAGGCACCAGCCTGGATGTGGACCCCTGGGAAGGGGTTATTACAGGGACACCCAAGCCATACAATGTGACAGGTGACAACTCAGGATGCAAAAGTGCTCCCAGTCCCTCTCTCCAGCTTGTCTGTGCCACAAAAGGGCTGGTGAGACACCAGCCAGGGAAGATTCCAACATACAATAAACCATCCACATACATGGACAGAACAGAGGCTGCAGAGACCCAGAACTGCCACAGCCCTCCTGGGAATTTCCCTTCAAGGAATGACATGACCTGAAACCAGTGCAGGGAGAAAGCACTCACACCTATGAATGTGAGGTACAAAAGGTCAGTGGACCTGCTTTTCTTCCCATCTCCTAAATATGTGGAAGGAAAAATACCCTCTAACCATAAAGCTGAAGAATTTACTCCTTTGTCATTTGAAGACCAACAACCTAAACAAAAACCAAACCCAATCCCCCAGAGCAGACATGAGTTTTGGAAGGGATACAAATCCTTTTGCCCTGGGGACTGTGCTGATCAAGAACAGGAATACTCCACTCACTGACTTCTAAATTTCTTACATTATCAGCAGACTGTAGGGAACAACAGTGACAGATCATGGGCTCAGAAGGACCTGGTCCCATCACTGTCACCACACACGAGAAGGTTTGGGTGTGACACAATCCTTCCAGAATTCACATCTGAAAAAAAGCTTTCATGATTGGAGTTAAATATTTAAAATACAGAATCACAGAATCATTTAGCTTGGAAAAGACCTCCAAGAACATCAAGTCCACGGCAGTTCGTGTATTTTCTCTAGAATGTAGGATATGGTTTGTATCTCACACTGACTTTACTCTCAATCTCACACACACATAAATGTTTGATGGCCTAGGACACATGACTGGCTTTAATCATGTTTGGTGAAACCTCCTAATTATACATTTATCCTGGCTGTATAGACCATTGAGTGAGTAATACATGTTTTAATAGGTCTAATTACAGCTTGAAGTTCCTTCTTTTTTAATTAGTTAACAAAAGGAGTTAAGCCCCAGTTCTTTAAAAGATTAGCTGCCAGTGATA